GTCTAGGAGCTGGACTTATGAGCTGCCTCCGGTGGGTACTGAGAATCAAATTTGGACCCTATCTCTCCAGCTCCTAACTGAATCTATAATAAAGATACCCCAACTTCCTGTGTCTCAGTGATCTACCAGCTTGCCATATCAATCATAATTACATCAGAAACACCTCAGGAACCGCCCTGTGATGTCATTTGTTAACCCCTTTAGCCAGGGCCTGAGATGTCGTAGCAGGTAAGAGTGTTTGCCACAGTCTGCCCTGAACTCACAAGGTGGCAGAGAACCAACGCCCTTAGAATTGTCCTCTGACTTCCACATGTGCCTTGGCATGTGTGCCTCTCCCTACACACGCTAAATAAATGCACGTAGTTTCTTTAGAAAGTTAACTTCTTTACTATCTTTTGAAGACAACAGCTTCAAAAACTCGCCGGGATCCTATCTGTAGCTATCTGAAAGACAATGAAGGGTGGCTCTCTTTGAGAAGCACACGCGTCTGTCTTCCTGAGTACCACTCTTTCCCTTAACTTGGTGCTTAAAGATCCACGCTCACAAACTCCAATTCCTGTTCGTTCAGGCTCATCTTCAAATTCTTTGTTGTGGTGAAGTCAAGGGTACAGTTTTACCTAAATGAGGTTCCTAAAACCTAAAGGAAAGTCTTGGGCTGCAGTGGGTAATGGCTTGAAGCTGTGCCTCTGTGCCTGCCACTATCCGCATGTCTACCTGAATAATTACTAGCCCGAGGACTTTATTACCTTCATTCCCATTTTCTGTCTCTAGGCTCAGAAGAAACTAAAAACCTTAGTTTCCAGACTTTCAGATCTTTCTAGCAAAAGTAACTCTTCGGGATCAGAGATATTTTACCAAGGCATTCTTTTCTACAGGACTGTTAATGAAACTAACTTTGCTTAGGCAACCCTTTCTCAGGGTGGTCCAGAGTCTTAGTCACCTTGCTCTGAAAGGATGCCATTACCAAGGCAACTTATAGAAGGAGTTTATTGGAGCTTACAGTTCCAAAGGGTTGAGGAGCATGGCAGTAGGCAGGCCAGCATGGCATTGTATGGAGAGGCAGCCAAGAGCTCATTTCTGACCCACAAGGGGTGGGGAAGAGGGGGAGAGGGAGAGAGGGAAGGGAGAGGGAGGAAGGGGAGAGCGAGAGGGAGGGAGACAGGGAGACAGAGACAGAGAGAGCACATGACAAGGGCTAACTAGAAATAGTGTGGGCTTTTGAAGCCTCAAAGCCCAACCCCAGTGACACCCCTCCTCCAATAAGGCCACGTCTTCTAATCCTTCCCAAACAATCTGACTAAATATTCAATCATATGAGCCTATGGGGGCCATTTTCATTCAAACCATCACACCTTAGATTCATAATTTTTTAAAATGTCACATTTATTTATTTAGTGTGTGTGTGTCTATGTGTGTGTGTGTGTGTGTGTAGGTCACAGGACAGTCTGTAGGAATTTATCATCCCCTTCCACCATGTTAGTCCATTCCCCGGACTGAAGTCAAGTCATCAGGTTTGGTGGCAAGTGTCTTCACTGGATAAGCCATCACCTCAGTCCTTGGGATCATCTTTGGGTCTAATGGTTGGTCATCCATCCATTCAGAGTTCAGAACATTTTTCTGACCCTACCCACAGACCACAGTATTTCATTCTCTTGTGGTAGCATTTTATTTTTAGTTTAAATATACTTTATTTTTTAGACAAGATACATGTTGTGATTATATACATACGTACATACACACACTACACACACACACACATAACATATGTGTATTTGTTACACACCTCTACCTCTACTCTAAATAAATCACAGTCAGAACTCAACTATAGCTCAAGATGATGTCAGCCATATTTGTCTTGGGTTCTGGTGTTGTATGGGTGACAAGCAGCAGCCGGTTATGGTGGCTGGCAACAGAGTCAGTAGAATTGCTCAAGTTGTGAGCATTTTTTTTTTCATTTCTAAATTATCCTTAAAGAAAGTCCTGCCTGGAGTCACGTAGGCCAGAACACCAACTGAGCTGTCTGGATTCACATTTTTACTCATTAAAAAACTTGGTAGATATTGAAATTGACCAGGGTGTGCTTCATTTGCTCCGCAGCCTGGGTATATGGGGCCATACTTTGTCTTGCTTCTGGTCTTCAGGTTTGCCTTAAGTCTGCTTCCAAGTGAGTTAACACTGTCCCTTATGCACTTGCTTTAGGCCTTTGGTCTCCTGTGTGGATGATGCTCCCTTACCCGTCATTACAGTGCTTTTGGTACCTTCGCCCGCTTACCCTCACCTGTCATTACTGTCCTTTTGGTACTTTTGCCCTCTTACCCTCACCTGTCATTACTGTCCTTTTGGTACCTTTGACCTCTGACCTTCTTCAGAAGCATGTTCATCAGTAAGTCGTCAGTGTTACCCTCTATCCTACTGACCATCTAGTCCTCCACCTCAAGGTACAGCCTGACCAAAATTTCCTGGATCATGGAGATGTCAGGTCTTGGTAGATGACCGAGAAGTCGGCTGTGGACTGAGGCACTCACTCAGAGGAAGCAGATGACTGCAAAGTCCATAGAAACAGGTCCTAAAGACAAGGTTGACAGTCTAGGAATTAAACTCTTTTTCTTGATTGTATTTCCTTTATCAATATTTTTCTGACCCACTTCTCAAATCCTGCCTTCCTCTCCATCTCCATGTGATACTGTATGCTATGTGCTTGTGTAGTCTCTTCCGTTCCCCCCCCCCCCCAACAGGGTCTCACTAGGTGATCCTGTCAGACCTAGAACTCATGATGTAGAACAAACTCTCAGAGATCCCCGTTTCTGCCTCCTGAGAATTAAAGGCATGAGGAGCTCTCCTCATAACAGATTTGACGCCGTGGCCATTCCCCAGCTGTCACCCACAGGATAACCTAAGGGTCTTCAAAATACCACCTCTGCACAAACTGTTCACACTCTTTCTTTTCTTTTTCTCTCCCTCGAAACAGGAAGCTGTTACATGTCCGCCTGACACACACTTTCCTGTCCTCTGAGTTTGCCTTTCCTGTTCAGTTTGTTTGTTTGTTTGTTTGTTTGTTTATTTATTGAGGTAAGAGTCTCACAGTGTAGTCTACGCTGTGGCACACAGGCTGGTTTAGAACTCATGATGCAGCCTAGGCTGGCTTCAAACTTGAGACAGTCCTTCTTTTTCAGACTCATTCTCCACACCTTGCCCTTTCTATTTCTCTACTAAACTCTTAGCCATTAAAAGTTTACCTCAGATATGATCTTTCATAAATCCTTTCCAGAGTCCTCTTAGCCTAGTGTCTGTGTTGAAGCGAGTGACAGACAATCTGTGAAGCTTTCACATGTGCCTTTGAGAACCACTGCTCCCATTAGGTGCAGGTATCTGCTCTGTTTTCTCAAGAATTGCTTTGAGGCGAGTGTAGTGGCCCATACTTTTAATCCCAGCATTCAGGACCTTTAATTCCAGCCATCAGAAGGCAGATCTCTGTGAGTTAGAGGCCAACGTGGTCTACAAAGCAAGTTCCAGGCTAGCAAAGACTACACGGAGAGACCCTGCCTCAAAAGAAACGATGACGAAACTCACAATGAATTGTGTTAAAAATTATCAGGCCATGCAGTGGTGGCGCACGCCTTTAATCCCAGCATTTGGGAGGCAAAGGCAGGCGGATTTCTGAGTTCGAGGCCAGCCTGATCTACAGAGTGAGTTCTAGAACAGCCAGGACTACACAGAGAAATCCTGTCTTGAAAAACCGAAAACAAAAAACAAAGAAAAAAAAAAAAGAGTATCAGGTTATCTACGTTGAGGATCATAGGTGTGCTACTTGAAAGTGAAGTCTAAGGGCTGTGCATCTGCGAGTCAGCCGCTCACAGAAAAGGCAAACTAGTTGTGATATGCATTCCTGGTTTTCTCCAATTGCCTGGTAATTAGGAATTTGGTCTACTGTACGGTTAAGGGGCTAGGCCAGCAAAAACATCGGCAGGACACTGTTAAGACTGGCTTTTAACAAAATCCTGAAAGGAGAGGCTGCATTCTGGTCTTCTGGACTAAGCTCCGCCTCTAGTCTTGTTCCTGTCTAAAACTTGTTTTCCTCCCCCAGATTCTCACTTGGACTTTCCTGTTCTTCGTTCACTCTCATCTGTTTTGTGTTCTGGTCCCTCCTTTTTCCCCCCTTTGAAGACCATCCTCAGAATCCTCCCACTCTTTAGGGTTTGTTGGGCAGATAGTAAGCAGCAGGCACTTTTCTGAACCAACGAAGTTCAGAATCTCAGAATCGAAGTGAGGCACCTCCTCTGTCCTAACTTTTCTTCTATAGGCCGAGGGAAATCGATATGCTAAACAAACAGTAAGTGCATTCACTGGTGATCTAGGTGGCAGGAAAGAGTTCCAATTCCCATTTCTTTCCTGCCCTTTGAAAAGCCAAAAGAGGGGCTGCTCAGAGGTTAGGGCAAGATGGAGACGTCTCATGTTGCAATGCAAATGACCCAGTTCAGGCAAAGACAGACACTCGGCACAGATCAAAGAGATGGTGGTGGGTCCTTTTCTATCTGGATGACTGAATGGAAGTCTCTCCTTACCTCTTTCCTCACCTCACTCCCACCCCTCCCCCAACCCGTCCCTAAATTAATTGCTTTTCTTTAGGTGAGGCCAGGAGTAACCAAGCAGATCCTAGTCGGAGATGAGATCGGGACTTGGAAAAGACCGCCGGGTGTAACATTAAGAGAACTGTGGGGCTGGCCCCTCAGCGAGGAGGGCAGCCTCTGGCGGCGGAGGGCCGGAGGGCAGCTCCACGGCCAGCCACGCAGGCAGGCTCGATGCAGTGCCGCTGCAGAGGCACAGTACGCGGGCATGCTACACGGACACACCAAGGGCGGGGCCCGGGGGCGGGGCCTCTCTCGAGGAGGGGCTGACGGGGACGCGAGTTGCCCAATGGCTTCTTTCACAGGTTCTAGGAAGACCAATGAGCGGGCAGCGGGGCGGGCACGGGGGCTGGAGCTGGGCAGAGGGCTGGCGGTTGGCCACAGGGGCCGGGAGCGGGGAGCCGTGGCGTGGAGGTGTCCTCGCGCCCGCAGCCGCGATCCGGAGCTGTGTGGTCTCAGGCAAGCGAGCCGACCCCATCGGGAACCAGGGCGGAACGGAGCGGCGGGAGCAGGATGGCAGAGGCCGTCGGAGCCGTGGCACTGATTGCGGCCCCGGCCCGCTGGCGCTGGCTGTGGTCGGTGCTCGCCGCGATGCTCGGGCTGTGTGAGTGATGCCGGGCCGGGGTCGGGCGGGGGCTCCGCGGCCGTGCGCGCGCTCGGGGCGCCGCGGAGGGGAGGGGGCGCGGCCTGCGCGCTCTGGGGCCCGGGCACGCCGCCCGGGGAGCGCGGCTCGGAGCCGAGGAACCTCTTTCTTTGGATCCCTTTGCGTGGAGGACGGAGAAGGGGGCTCCCTACCTTGCAGCTCTTTGGGGGCAGTCCCAAGAGCCCAATCACGCCCAGTCCCCTGCCGTCGCCTCCTGGTGATTCTCCCAGGACCTCCCAGGAGTCCGACTCTGGAACTGAGGTTTTCCACCTTTGGGAGATGGCGGAAGATTGCAGTATTTTTCACCTGTGGGGCCTTTGTTGGTTTATTTCCTGTTTAAACCAGTGTTTTTCCTTTACCTGGTAAGATCTATTTCGAATGCGCTAAGATCCATTCTTAAGGTTCTGTGACTGAAGACTCAGAATCTCATTTATTTCACCTCTGGGGTCTGCAAATCACAGAGACGAAATTTATGTTACTTCTAGACTAGAATGAAAAGGCTTAAAAGAATTCGGTCGAATTCGTATTAATGGTAAACATGGGCACCATAGTTTGACAAGACGTAGACAATTCACAAAGCATGCTTTTACTTTGATTTTAAAAGCCCCCCCCCCGGCCCTTGCCAAATAACTAGACTCAAGTTTTTGATAAAGGCTCCGGCTCGGTTTATGTGACGTCTTGGACCAGTTGTTTTATGGGGCGTCTGAAGTAGTGTCTGCCCCAGAACTTTTTGTGTGTGTTGTTCAAAGCAAAGTACTTGTTTCTGTCTCAGAATTCGGTTAAGTAGTGGTTACAGAGAGGACGAACTGCTAAGAAAACACGGAGGGGGTTCCTCCCACTCATTTCTTCTGTGTGTAAAATGTAATTTGTTCAAAATCCATTACTCAGTACTTTCTTTCGTGCAAAAGTTCCTAATGTAGTAGTCTCTGGAACCAGAAATATAGGTGAGATTCTGTTGGATTACCAACTTTCATTTAACCTAGTTGTTGATAGCGGAAAGGTGAAAATGGACTAGATCCATTTTGTATGTATCAGATGGGATCTGTTCTGGTTTTTTTTGTTGTTTTTGTTTTTGTTTTCGTTTCTCTTAAAGGAAACAGAAAAGGTGTGGGGTGTTTTTTGTTTGTTTTTTTGTTTGTTTGTTTTTAGTTGGTGCAGGTTGTATTTTGTGTTTAAGCAAAGGATCACAGAACAGATCCAAACCCCACTTTATCAGACCTCTTGTAGGCTGACTTGTGTGATGTCAGATATTGCTATTGGGGACAGGGCAGTCGGTGTGATCTTAAATTCAGGGTGTTAAAAGAAGCAGGACCTTTGTGTTATGAATGAAATGTCACCTCCTCTGGTATAAAAGAAACCATTCTTTTTTTTTTTTTTTTTCTTTTTTTTTCCGAAGCCAGGTATGGTGGCTCACACCTAAAATCCGAGCACTTGAGTGGCTTGAGCACGGGGATTGACGTGAGTTGGAGGCCAGTCTGAGCTGATTTGAAGGAATTATACACAAGGGTTCATCTTTTACGAAACGTTCTTTTGAGACAGCATCTTACTGTTTATCACAGGCTGTTCTTGAACTGGGCGTCTTCCTGCCTCTGCCTCCCAAGTGCTGGATTAAAGGTGTATAGCACACCTGACTTTTCTGTTTTTGAGGTTTCTTTTCAACGTGTTGCCTAGACTGCCCTTCATCTCCTGGGCTCAAACAATCCTGCCTCAGCCTCCAGGCACTTGGGACCTGCAGGAAGACACCACTGTTCTCATCCAGAATAGCTTCTCAAGTTCTGTTCAGTTACTTAGCTGTTATCTATCAGCACCTCTTAGATGTTAAGTACTTGAAACTGTCATGGAACTTGGGGTCACAGTCTTTACCCTAAGACTCCAGGTTCTTGAAAAGTCAAAACAGTAAAATCGATAGTTGAAACAAAAATATGTGAAAAGTGGAGATTGGTTCAGTGTGGCCACATTGGGAAGACACTCAGTGATCCAATGACTCAATTCCAGCCCATCCCCAGGGTCCTGAAAAGTTTAAGGTTTAAATAGAGGGCCAGAGATGTATGCACGTCTAAGCAGTTCAGGTCAGGGTGTGGGCTCCCCCACCATTGACCCATCATAATCTGGGCTTAAGTCTCTCCAGCAAGGTGGTCCAACAATGATAGTGTTGCAAGCTGCTGACAGTTACATTGTAGCTATGGATGGAGCCTTGCAACTTGATTAGGCTCTTGTCCTGGACTTCAGTTTTCCAGAGCAGATGCCTGCCATTTAGAAAGTAGATTAAACTCTACAAATAACCAGTGTGGTCCATTCTGTGGTAATATATCTTGTATCAAAACTCATACCCCTATCCCCTTTTCTCTTTCCCCTTGACAGTCACATCTGCTATCTATGTCCACGTATTCAGACTAATGTCAAATGGGGCACAGCCAGCACTCATGCCTGCTGGGCGGGCTGGCCACAGAGTGAGATTGTTTACACACATACTGACCCCATTAGACCCTCCTCTGAGCTGCTCTGCTTTAAATTCTTTCTACTGGAGATTATTTTTTCACACTCAGTCTTTCCCGGCCTTTTCACTAATAACGATATAAATCACCACCGAGGCAGAAGAAGAAGGTCGAAAAAGACCAGTTATTACCTACTGATGATTTATTGATTTACGTAGCGATTTACTTCAAGCACTGCTTGTACTGCCTGTTGACCAAGCATGACTCCACCTGCTACCTGAAACAAAATGACCTAGAGAAACAGCCGCGACAATGGGCAGTTGGCCTTAACAATCTGCTGACTGCAGATATGCTTCTGTAAAATCTTGGTTGGTTCCCCACCCCGCCTTGTGGTTTTAGAGTATGAAATGAGAATACAGACTGGACCCCGGAGTGAAGCCTTTCAGGAGCTGTCCTGGCTTTGGTTCACCAGTGACGTCTCCTCTCTTCTACGCCACTGTTACTGGTGTAGAATGCTTATTTAAAAATGATTCTCACCGCAAAGCCTAGGAAAGTGCCTGGGTCACGGCAGGAAGTCACCAGGTACCTGTTGAGGTCGTTCACTGGATGGCAGAGCTGGCACAACTTGGTTTGCAAGTTGAAGTTTATTGCCTGAAAGTTTTAAGTGAAGGAACTTTTGAGTTTTTTTTTTTTTTTTTTTTTTTGGTTTTTTCGAGACAGGGTTTCTCTGTGTAGCCCTGGCTGTCCTGGAACTCACTCTGTAGACCAGGCTAGCCTCGAACTCTCGAACTCAGAAATCCACCTGCCTCTGCCTCCCAAGTGCTGGGATTAAAGGCGTGCGCCACCACCACCCGGCAACTTTTGACCTTTTATTTAACTTACTTGTATATATATTTGAGACAGAGTCTCACATGTTATATAGCCTAGACTAGCTTCAGACTCACTGTGTAGCTCAGCCTACCCTTGAATTCACAGTAATCCTCCTGTGTTGGCCTTTCTAAGTGCTGGGATTACTGGTATGAACCACCATATTTGACTTGAATTTTTAAAATCAGAGTTAAAGCTATCTAAACTTGTGAAGTACATAGATAATTTACTGTAAACAAGTGTTAAAACTGACGTCTAAAAATTCCGGTATGTTCTACAAATCCCTATATGGTACTGCTTTCCTATAAAACACATCATCCTGACAATCCAACAAGCCCAGGAGGTTCCTGGCAAGCAGACACCTGCCTGGGGCATATAGGCAGATGTCGCTCTCTTTGTTCTCTGTCCTTTGTCATCTCCCTGTGGGCTACTCACCTGCATGACCCCTTACCTACAGGAAGTCCCTGTTTCTCTGAGGTCCTGCTCACCCTCAGGTTGTTTCCTACCATCCTGGCCTTCTCTCCTCCTGGGGTTCTTTTGTTTCTGCCTCTCACCATTACCAGAAAATACACCAACTTCAGAACGTCACCCTGCTCTTCTCTGCAGTCTCCCAAGCCCACTCCAAGTTGCTGGAGCTCATCAAGACTGCGGTCTTGCTCTCCCCCGCCCCCCCCCCCCCCCCCAGTGAGTTAGTCACTTCCTGGCTGCCTGTCTCCCTCTCCAGCTCTCCACAGCCATTGTTGGACTCATTTCCTGGCAAACTCTTCCCTTCCCAGTCCTCCTGGCCCTTCCTTGTATGCACCTGGCAGTCAGTCTGGGAGAGCTCTCCCACCGCCTTGTGTCTGCTCTTACATCTACGTCAGTGTCCCCTTTCAGATCTGTCTTACTGTCGTCGCAGTACAGACGTGCTGTACAGTTTGTCCAGTTAAGAAACCTGACTTCGGCCTCACAGCACCCCTTAGCTACATCTCTAAGCTCCGGCTCTCAGCAAAATTTCTCCAGCCGGGTCTGTTCTGCATTTGATAATTAAATCTTGTCACCTGACGGTTTTGAAATTTGACATTTGCATTGCAAGTCTTTTCTGGGCCTTTAGCTTTCTTTTCCGGTTCTTCCCTTTAGCCTCTGTGCTTTGTCTCCTCTGATCTCTGTCCACTCCAGCAAATCCGAGGGGAGACTAAGAGGCAGCACCAAGCCTGTGTTCAGGAACCTTCTAGTCATGGAGAATCAACAGTGATTCCCCTCCTGATGAATGGAGCTCCCACAGGCAAGCATGTTGAGAAGAGTGACCTGAAAAGATTCAACTCCTGCTAGCAGAGACTTCTGCTCAGGGATGCCATACAAACCTTGACCTGTTTAGAGCACGCTATGGCTACACAAGCATGTTAACTAGGGCAGTGGTTCTCAACCTTTCTAACGCTGCCACCCTTTCATGCAGTTCCCCATGTTGTGGTGACCCCCCCCAACCATAGAATTATTTTTGTTGCTACTTCATGACTGTGATTGTGCTACTGTTATGAATTGTAATGCAAATATCTGTCTTCCAAGGATCTTAGGTGACTTCATGAAAGGGTCACTCACCTCCACCCAAGAGGTCATGACCTACAAGTTGAGAAACACTGAACTAAGGTGTTGTACAAGGCCCAAACTCGCAGAAGCCCC